CTTTTAATTAGATTGGATTTATTTTGTGGTATTTCGTGACATCGGTTATGATTAAAAAAAGTTTTAGGTTAGATTTTTAGATGGGGAATTTGTACAGAGGTTTAATATTTGGAAATACATACATTAATGTTAAAAGAACGGCTTCTCTCAAAACCTAAGCATGTAGACTTTTCATTCATTTATTTACATTTTGCCATGAATTTTCTTATTATTCCATTAATTTCTTTATTACTTGCCAAATTATTATGCCGCTTAGTCATGTGTATAATCATGTCTCATTGAATCTATGTCCTACCTAAAGGTCATATATTACGTAAACCCACTAAGAAACAGTAAGATATCGAAATTTAATCCCATCAAAAATAAGACTACAACAATACCTTAATTATATTACACTACATTTCAGAAAAAACTACATAATATTACAAAGCACAAATACCAAATTTCATCAAACGTAAACGCGAAGCTCGCACCGGTGTGAATATAAAAATCAATAGGTATAGTTTAAGCAGGCTATCCCGCGGGATCACGGGGACCTCGTAAATAACTCCAACTACATATAATATGGGATCAACACTGTCCGTTTACGAGGGGCTGGAATTTCGACCCCTAACACACCGAATTTTGTCCGTATTTTGGTAAAACTTGACGATATCCGGCCCCTAAGTTGAAGATGAAGTAATGATAAGTTTTTTATGTGTTTGTGTTGAAGTTTCAAGATTTAGTTTTATGGTTTAACGAGTAACTATAATATTATTATGAGATTATTGCTTTTCTCTAAAAGGGTTGAAATTGAAGTAACAATTTTCACTCCTCTTTGCAAAAGTAAACTATAGTTAACTTGCGTATTAAACTATACCAAAATAAGTATGTTTTATTCTATTTTTCTATAAAACTATTTAAACAAACCACTCCTACCAATGCGTTAAATAAAAAAAAACTAAAACGCCACAGCTGAAAAATCACATCACTTATTTACGAAAAATAACCTAAAAAAACTAGCACGCATGAATATTCAACAACGTCCTTCACGTTAAAAACACCAATTAACAACGCTACCATTTAGTTAATTAGCAACAAAATGCTTTTAAAACAAAAATTATTCACCCTAATTCACCGTAATCTGTAAATTCACAAAGTATTTTTTTACTTAATTAGTAAGCTGTCAAAACAAGGATGAACACAGATTAGGTATAAAAAAAAACTTTTCCAAGATGGCGCGGTACAATGACAGATCGTTTACACAGATACAAAATGTCCCGCCACTGTAAATTAAGATGGGGAAGACGGAAAAGGCGCGAATAAATGTTTATTCTTACAGATGTTGAGTTTTTATGGTGTTTCCTTGTAAATGACGAGATTACTTTTTTATTTTGGGGCGGGAGACACAGTCACTGTGAAGATTTTTGGCTTTTGTTTGTGATACTGTGTTTATGTCATCAATCTTTTTATTTTTGGCGGGTTGTGGAGTGCTGAGTGGGGTTATAGATATGTATTAGAAAGAAGTGCTTAGATGGAAAAAATTTAAACAGCAATAATTTCGCTATAATTTAGAAAAAAATGTTTTATTTTTAGTGTTTCTTTAGCTGTTTTTGCATTGAATTTTTACACGAGGCTCTATGAATAAACACGTAGCGCGGAGAACCTAACGGGTTACCGGGGCTCCGGCTCGAAGTGCAGGAGAAGGAACAGGATGGTTTTTATTCAGTAAGAGTCTGACACTCCCTCCCGCCTCACTCAGGCGGGATTTTCATTCGATGATTTTCCCCCTTTAAAAAAAATGACTAAACACGTGTCTACCTAGCTGAAATACTGTTCATATTACCATATACATATAAGAGAAGGATACGTCCCAACCACCTATAGAAATGACAAATAAAAACCACCATCCCAAAAACAGAAACTAAAATAAAACCACACACAAACACCCAAGTCCCATGCACAAGTCATTACAGGCTTCTAAACACAAGAAGTGACGTAAAACGGAACCCTTACATCGTCAGTAATGTGTAGACATCCCATGTAATCAGCTGTCTTAGAGAACACGCCTTTTATCTACTAACACCCTTAAACCCTTCGTATGGGGGTAAAAATGTACCAAATTACGTATTGAATGGGCCCTGTTTATACGAGGGGCAGAAAGTTTTCTCCATGTGTTCCTAATGATTCGTTTAATGATATTTGATGTGATGACGTTACGTGTTTTATTCAAGTACTGGGTAAGCAGATATTGAAGTCATTTTTGTCTTGTTATGCTATGAACTGTCAGTTAAGTTTTTAGTTTGTTTGTGTGATTAACATCACATAACTTCTCACCTTTTATCCCCGCAGGGGTAGGCAGGGGTGTACATTACGGCACTGTACAATGTAACACCCACTTTTCACTGTTTATGTTATGAGTCCCATGTAACAGGGGGTGAGCCTATTGCCATATACCGAGCACAATTCCAGACTCCGTGCTACTACTGAGATTTTTTTTAAAACCTAGTAATACTTTGACCGACCCTGGAGTCGTACCCGTGACCCCTTGCCCGGCAGTCGCACTAGCAACCACTTGGCCAAAGAGACCATCAGCAGTATATGTAAATTAACTAATTATATAAATTAATCATACCCTATTTACAAAAGGGCTATTTTATTAAAAAAATACAGTTTAATAATAAACTTTCCAAGCGATTTGCAACTCGTTAGCTTCGGTCGAGAGCTAATAGTGTCCGATATTACGGTAAACTTCCCGTACTTACACCAACTAGGTTTAAACTGATCTTATGCGCATCATGCTGCGTTTACACGCACTGGTTACTGGCTTGTAATAAAGGCGAGTCAACTGGAATACAAATTAATTGTACTTAGGTTAGTAAATAATTAATAGTCTAGAAGTAGGTCCAATAAACGTCTAACACCTTGATGGAAATATGCAATGTTTATGCTACATCATAAAAGAATAAACATGTCTATTTTTTGCTTCAGAAATAAATGCTTAACAATCTTACGATAGCTAATTTTACCCTTTGTAACTACACATTAAGAATTTATGACTCCACAAACAACTTAATGCGAAAAATAGCGCACAACTGACAGTTATAAAATAACATTGTAGCAGCTAGATTGTCAGACAACTAACTTTAATAATTCATAAATAGCCACGATAAATTAATTAGGCATAACATGTATTTAGGAAATGGTTTTATAACACAAACTACTATATAAAAGTCAATTCTGATATAAACCGTTTATATCTAATATAAAAAATTTTCGTGTCACAGTTTTCGTTGCCATACTCCTCCGAAACGCCTTGACCGATAGTGATGAAACTTTTTGTGCTTATCCAGTATCTATGAGAATCGGCCAACATCTATTTTTCATCCCCCTAAATGTTAGGGGTAGTCCAACCATAATTTTTTTTTAGACAAAATTTTTAATTTGTATTTTTTATGATACAAAATACAAAAATACATGCAATCCTCAATTTTCACCTTTCTACGATCAACCCTTATTTTTTTAATAGCCATTTTAGTAATTCAATCATTTTTCCTCTCCGGTCGAAAATTAATTAGCAAAACAACGATTGCCGGGTCAGCAAGTCCTTAATAAATTTTACAATTACACTTCAAGAAACACAGTTCAATTACATGTTAAACGAATTAATGAATACTCAATCAACTACCCCAAGCAAGCAGACATTCTAGTCAAGTTACTATCCAGTGTAAACGAGCAAGCTATCTGAGATTAAGTCTACCACAACCGCGCTGGCCGACCGCCGATCGATCCGAGCATTATACTGGCTAGACAAGTGGCCAGTTACTCTCCTGAATAGATTACTGAGTTTAAACACTCCTATATTGTTAGGGTTGTCACACAAGTGTGATGTTTAGTTAGGGTATGGTAGGGCTTGCTACGGCCTGTGTCATTGATTTAGTTATTGTAATGGATCTATCTGATTGTATAGTTATCAGGATAGTAATAACAAGTTTGTTTGTTTATTACTTCTTTTCGTTGCCTCGTTGGCCTCGAGTGGTCGCAAGTGCGACTTCCGGGCGAGGGCTCTCATGTTCGATTCCCGGGTTGGACAAAATATTACAGAGTTTTTTTCAAAAAAGTAGTACTACGGAGTCCGGAAATGTGCCCGGTGTATGGCAATAGGCTCACCCCCTATTACATGAGATTCATAACATAAAATAGTGAAAACTGGGTACCACATTATAGAGTGGCATTAAGTGGCGTACTGTGCGCCTTTGCCTACCCCTTCGGGAATAAAAGGCGAGAAGTTATGTGTTACTTCTTTCCACTGTATAGACTCAACCATTCTTATCGAAATCTATACATTTAGTTGGAAGTATTAAAAAGGAAATAAGCAATCACGCAGATAAAACTGCAGTGGTTTTTAACACTGCAAAGTTTTTAATTGGCTGAACTAAAATATCGATTGTAATTGTTAATGGGCATTTTTCTATGAGAAAATTTATGTTTCAATTGAAGATAGTATCTTGACGATATCATTGTTTCGATATGATTACTGTTAACGTTACATTTACTGGGAAATTCTCATCTAAAGCCACCAAATCAAAAATGAGTCTAAAATCAGAATTCTAATAAACGGTTAAAGAATAAAAATACGAACATCATCATCATGCCCACTGCTGAGCAAAGCCTCTTCCCACACGGAGAAGGTTTGAGCATTAATCACCACGCTTGCTCAATGCGGGTTGGTGATTACAAACTTATAATTAGAAATTATAAGCCCAGGTTTCCTCACGATGATTTCCTTCATCGTTTGTCAGTGGTGTCTGAATAATCTTAGAAAGTACATATAGCTCGGAAAAAGTGACATTGGTACATGCCGTTGGTAGGTTTTGAACTCGCACCCTCATGCATGAGAAGCGGGCGTCTTAAACCTCCGGGCCACCACGACATCTCTTCATCATTCAATCATCAATCTCTCCAATCCATTCATAAGTACCAGGCGCACAGAACCACAAAAGAGGTGAAACACAACTTACCTGGACAACATAGCATCGTTCGCATTCCCGAAATGATTAGCTGCCAACGCGGCTTCCAGGACATTGGACTCTCTTCTCGGCTCCGCACGGTTCAAAATCGAACTGATAGAAAAACTAGTGTAAGGCGCACTGCCGGTTGCTTTTTCTTCTTTGTCCTTCTTTAATTCATAGAAGGGACTCTTCTGATCTTTTCTAGAAGGTGAAGATGTGATGTCAGGACTGCTGGCTCCTGATACCACGTTTACTTCAATATCTCGATCGTCTTGCGAAGATACGGGCGAGTCCATCTTGGGAGTTACTGCTTCATTTTATGGTGGCCTGAGAAATATATGAAATGTGTTAGTTTATGTGGAAATTGGGTTACAAATGTTTCGGGAACTGTTTGGTTTTTTCTGACTTATTTATAACTGAGAGACGGTTTTTATTGGTCTTAAGTAAAACAACTACAGCTGATAAGCTGACTGTCACGGAAGTTTTAGTTCCTTTTTTTTTTTTGAGGGGGGAAAATCATCCAATGACTTCTCCCGCCTAGGTGAGGCGGGAGGGATGAGTATAAAATAGTGGTGTGAAGTTTATTAATCTATACTAAACTAATATTATAAAGCTGAAGAGTTTGTTTTTTGTTTGTTTGTTTGTTTGAACGCGCTATCTCCGAAACCACTAGTCCGATTTCAATAATTCTTTTTGTGTTGGATAGCACATTTATCGAGGAAGGTTATAGGCTACTAAACATCACGCTACGATAGGAGCCGAGCAGCGCGAAGTCAACCGCGCGGAAGTAGCTAGTAATAAATCATTATGAGTATTACGTTAAAATTATAAAGGTATTCAAAAACAGCTAATTTACTCAACTTTAACTACAAATACTATACAAAGCAACCTATCTTCTTGCATTTACGAGATCTCTTCATCAAAACCGTTCTCCGCCCTACTCCTCAAATCCAAACTATAGCTAATACATATCAAAATATCCAAAACTATATCCCCTAAAACTTAGCTTCATAAGACGTTTAACATGATCAATAATTCAACACATTAAATGCGTTATTGTTCTAAGCTTTATTGAGTCCCTTCCCTGGAGACAAAATGGGGTAATAATGGGGAACATTCATCCCCCCATTGTTGTGAATAAATAATGAATTATAGAGATTTACGGATAAGAAAGTATTTTGAGGTAATCACGTTAAAAGATTGCGGAGTTTAAGAGCTTCCTTATTTGTGAAATGATATTTGATATTCTTAGGTTAATATCAGGGGCTTTTTGCAATGTTTCCTTGTGTGAATTCTTATTGTCGATTTGAAAGGGAATTCAATGTGCTTTGACGCTTGGATAGCTGGATTGATTACCATGTATTTAGTAATGCAATTGCCCTAGTAACCCCTCTCAAAGTAACCAGTCCCTGACTCCCCAACAGTCTTCAAATTCCTAATCCACTTGTAACGCCTCTGGTGTTCCAGGTGTCCATGGGCGACGCCGATTGCTTACCACCAGGTGATCTATCTGCTCGTTTACCGGCTAACCCAATAAAAAAGGAATATATGTTTTTTCTATTGAATTAATCAGTAAAACTTTGATACCCAATTACTAGAATTAATAACTTCCTATTTTAGAACACGGTTTACATTACATGTGACTTCGCTCTGTCTATAAATAAACTGATAAAAACACCTACTCACACACAAACTTTACTGTTACACACAAAAAAATTGTACAACCAAAAGGTAAAATAAATACAGCAATTCCGTCAATAATAATGACGCAACATATTCAGAGTTCGGAAAACGGCAATTGCCAACGATTTACCGTCGAAAAATTGCCATGAGATTTAATGTTTAAGCACGATATCAGATGAGGCTCGGCCACAGACATACAATACATCAATTTAATGATAAATGTACACAAAGTATCGCATGGATTGCCACAAAAACGACACTAACCGACGTTACCAGTGCAAAATGGCACTAACCGACGTTACCAGTTCAAAATGGCACTAACCGAAGTTACCAGTTCAAAATAGCACTAACCGACATTGCACGTGCAAAATGGCACTAACCGACGTTGCTAGAGGCAAAATGACGCTTGCCAACGTTGCCAATGGCAATCATTCGCAATTCAACTTTTACTCAACTGCAATGAGATGTGTTTTCTGTGTATTTTTTTTTCGCATAGATTACCTAATGTTTGTTTTTGTAGTGATTTAGATTTTTTTATGTTGGCACTATTTGGATGATTGAATGCTGATTCAGTAGGACTATGAGACAGTTTTATTTAAAGCGGTTTCCAAAGTTTCTAGTCTGTGCCCAATCATGTTTACGTACTGTCTTCATTGGTGTTATTATATACTAGCTACTGCCGCGCGGTTTCACAAGCTCTGCTCAGCTCCTATTGGTCGTAGCGTGATGTTTTATAGCCTATAGCCATCCTCGATTAATGCGCTATCCAACACAAAAAGAATTATTCAAATCAGACTTATAGCTATGGAGATTAGCGCGTTTAAACAAACAAACAAAAAAACAGTATAAGATATAAGATTTTCACAAAAATCTACGACTATAATTTCATCTCTAAAACTTGAAGGACGCTTGATTTATATTTTTATAATTACATCTGGTATTTAGTTATAGAACAACCCCTATTATATAAAACCTACAACATAATTGACCAACTAAAAGTGCACCTACGTAATCTACCCTTTTTCAAAACTGTAATGAAGAGCACATAAAATATAAAGTTGCAACATTTTACAGCATTTTAATTAATTAAGGGGGGTGCCATAATTAGAGGCACGCGTCCGATGCCGATGTAATGATATAACGTATCAGGGGTAAGCAGTACCCCTCTTTAAAATAGTGGGACGTCAGATGTCTGTTGTTTTGTGAAAAATTACTGATGTTTTGTTGATAATGAGAAAAAGGTATGGTTTTCTCATTACGTTTTTTTCTCTAAGTAATTAATGTGCTCAGATTCAGTGTTATATTTGTCAGATATACTTACTTAATTATTATAATATGATTGAAATAAATAAGTAATAACAATAGTCCCGATTGCAAGATGCCAGTGGATGCTGATGGCGAATTGTCGTTCAACGTGGAGAAGTAAGGGGAAGGCCTTTGTCTAGCAGTGGACGTATTTCGGCTGTCGATAATGAATTGTTTTTTCATTATTTGATGGACCGACGTTGTCCACTATCTCGCCTGGTGGTAAGCGATGATGCGGCCTACGATGGAGCACGTGATGATGATGATGATTGGTCCTAATGACAGAACTAACCAAAAACCAATAAGCGAAATATATAATCTTATGGTAAAGCGAGAGGTGAGTTTAAATGTAGGTAAACGGAAAGAATTAAATGAACACAGTTTGAAATGCTATGAAATAAAACTAAGTTTGTGAACTGAATAAAACTGAGTGATGCCTGAAGGAAGAATACAGTAGTTTCCTAAATTTTATTTTAATGTCCATCTGGTAGATTATTTTATAACATTAGACACGTATTTCTTTTTCTTTTCTCACAAAATTCAATACTTTCGACGATATATTCATTTGAAATATCGTATGACGTCACAGCGTGATACATTTTACAGCACATTGTGACGTAACGACCTCCCACTCCTAAACTTGACGCCATTTTATCTAAGTATTGCAACTTAATATGAGTAAATAAAAATATACGTGTCTAATATTTTTTCATTATCTAACTGACGGACTAATTAGATTTTTAATTTTCTTACCCTGGCAACTACCCTATTAAAAAGGAGACATATTGCCACCTACTACAAATAACTTGGAATGGTGACAGGGAAGAAGGACAAGCGTTTTAAAACACTACTAACTTTAACCAACCAAGTCGAAAAGATAAAAAACATATTAAATATTAAGGTACATAAAATAAGGTCGAAATTCCCACAAAACGAATTGTGTGATATGACATTTTAGCCTCAAACTATAATCCAACTCTTTAGGCTTCTGGACACACGTAAATGTAGTGATTATACAATTTTAATATTAATTAGCATACGCTAACGTGTTTGGAAGTAATTTTATATCAGTTGGCATTGGGTCATAAGGTTGTAGTCATAAATATTGTCCTATATGACTATCCCCAGACGTAAAATTGTCTATTTAATTTGGCATAGTAATTATAAACGTAGAATTTATTTTTAAATGGTTATTAAGGCACTTGTTGTAGCCCTTTCTACGTGGAACTCATGAGGTAAGTAAGTATTTTTTTTTTTTGTAATTGCATCACCCGTTTAGCCATGATGCTACGGGGATATCTAACGGTGTGTGCTTAAGTTCCTGTTAGTTTAACTAGCACATATTTTGAAGCTTCATATGTCAAAATTATCGTGTTTTCAATCCTATTAACTATCTCTAGACACAAAAAACATAGCATAAAATTGCTACGTTGTGCCGTTATAGAATGACAAATAAATAAAATAAATATTTATATTATAGCTTTCGTTATATTAGAACAAATATTTCTTTGTTACTTTCCCATCTTCTGAGTTCCATAATGTACAAAGAGTTTCTACTAATAATAGTGGGTAAATAACCGCGTTTAAATATAAAATTACGTCTGTAGATATATTTTGCGGTCGTTGTCTTGTCACCTACCGAGAACTTCATAATTATTCTGTACCCGACCAAGATCTCTTACAGATTTTCTTCAACAATGCAAACAAAGCCAGTGCTTTTTTATACGCAAAGACAAGCCCGCCACAACCTCCCAAAACCGCTGCTACTCCTGTAAGGGAGGATCTAACAGATCATAGATACAACCATGAAAACACCGGAACACTGAAGTCCGGCGCGTCCCAGGGACATAAATAACTTGTCTTGGTTCCCACAACGAAATGAATCAGAAGACATTATAAGAGGAGAAAAATCGTCAATTTACACTTCTACTACTGCAGGATACAGAATTAATAAAAGCTAAGCGGAGAACCTAACGGGTTACCGGGGCTCCGGCTCGAAGTGCAGGAGAAGGAACGGGGTGGTTTTTAGTCAGTAAGAGTCTGACACTCCCTCCCGCCTCACCCAGGCGGGAGCAGTCATTCGATGATTTCCCCCTTAAAAAAAAAGTGCTACGACTAGTATATATAACCGAAACAAACAAGATGAGGATATAATAAGGTCATTAATGTAAGTGGCGCGCATGCCGTGCTCATGCCAACCGGCCGTACATCAGATTACATGCTAACAACTAATATGTTACGCTAATTTACTATCTAAGGCCTTTTTAGGCCATCCTCATGTAGTGTGCTTTGGTAAGTAGATACCTAAATAGAGGAGTTAACCGATTTTTTTTAATGTT